TCCGCCGGTCGTGGAAGAGGAGGTGGATTTGCGCCTACATTGCCATCCACCACAGCCGCGCAGGCCAAGAAGAAGGTCGTCGTGCCGTAGCGACGAGGTGGCCGCGCCATAAAGGCTACGTGTCGCCGCCTCCCGCCGCGGCCGCCACCTCCGCCGGTCGTGGAAGAGGAGCCGCCGATATCTAGATCAACGAAGAAGAAGAAGTTTGAGTGACTAAAATACATCATCTACTGGGGACCTCGTACCCTAAAATACATCACCCGTTGGAGTTGGACACTTTCCGTGATGTAAAAATAACGTTTTTGGTGATGTATAATTCACATCAAACAGTTTTTGGGCTGCTATTTTACATCACCTATTGAAGATGCTCTTATATTTGCATCGCATACCAAAAAAAAGGCCTAAATTCAGAAACTTGTGTTTCAAACAAGCAAATGCAAACAAGCACACAGTCACAATCGCAGCAACACAAATGCGCCATGTGGTGGAAACGGTAGAAAACTTCTCGGGGATCCCTATGCTAGATTAGATAATTAGAGAGATATTAGTTGTTTACACTAGTACATTGCAGGACTGGCGGTGCGAACAGAGCCGTTCACCCGTCGCTGCGGTCAAGATGAATGCAAGCTCGCATTCAGTGTTCAGATCGATGCACTGACAAAATGTATGTCACAGTAAATCCGAGTGCCAATTTTGATTATGTATTTCATTCCTTTCTGCTAAGTGTATATATGATCAAAGATTAGTACAGCAGATATACTAAGGAAATAGATGCATCCACATCGGGTCTACGTAATCCTCATTCATCGTCCAGTTGTTATAGGAGTATCAGCCGATTCGATTCGAAACTTCAGCCAAAAATACGAGTACCAGTAGTATGATTGATCTATATAAGAAGCAGTCAAGATCGTGAGAGTGAGACAGTTTTGACCAAGACTCTGAATCGTCTGATCGACCAGCCAGCCGCCTAGCTCGCACCGTCCGTCACTTTGGCGATCGTGGCGCGACCGCCGTGGACCGCCGCGTGGGGCCTGCCTCCGTATCGCCGTCCTCCCTCTTCTCCACGACCGCCGCCTCCTCGTCCGCCTCCTCCTCCTCGCCGTTCTCCGTGGAAGGCCCCTCGAGGTCGTCGCGGACGCGGAACGAGGCGTGGAGCACGATGACCGGGACGCCCACCGCCAGCGCGGCCATGAGGTTGGCGACCGCGCCGGCCGCGGCGAGGTCGGCGAGCACGAGCGCGACGAACGCCGCGGCGACGAGCCGGCGGAGCAGCGCCAAGCGCGGGAACGGCGCGAGGAGGCCGAGGCAGACGAGGAGGACCTTGGAGGCGGCCATGAGGAAGAGCACCGACGCCCGGTGCCCCGCCGCGGCCAGCGACGCCAGGAGGAGCGCCCACTGCAGCGCGGCGTAGTGGTACCGGAACGTGCGCGCGTTGCGGACCCCGCGCACCGCCGCGGCCTCCGCGTCGGCCGCCGCGCCGAACGCCGACGGCCGCGGCGCGAACCGCGCTAGCGCGCGCCGCGCTCCCCTAGCGGCCGCGCACGCCCTGTCGACCGCCCGCCGGACCGCGCCCGCGCTCGCGCCGCCGGCAGTCATCGCCAGTCTCGACGGCGGCTGCTTGCTGGGCGGTGGTGCCTGCCGAGATTCGCCGGTCCGGTTGCTGGGTTTGGACTCAAGGGAGCCGGATGGCACGGGACGGGGGCCGGAGCGAGTCAAAGACGCGGGTTTTAACAAACGGCGCGCCCGGGGTTAAAGGCGGGGCCTCGCCCTCGCCGTGACGGCGAAAAACCGGGACTTTTCCACTCGTTTCCGCGTCGGTTTTGTTGCGGCAGCGACCTGGTCGGTGCGCCATGGTTGGCTCTTCCCCGAACGTTTGGCCGCGGGGCACCAACACGATCCTCCCCTACTTGCCTACTTTTCTTTTTGGCGATATTGCAATGCTGTTTTCTGAACAGAACGAGTACGAATGCACGACGACTCAGCTTCTGCTCTTTCTGTTTTTAGAACTGAAGAAGATTTGCGTATCGTCTATTTACAGAAGGAAATTATTTGTTTCGTAAGCTATTAATTGAATTATTAAGAATTTATTGCATGCATTTCTTGCGTTGACTGAAGCATAAACTAGCCGCTGCAGAAAGCTCCCTTTCCTTTCCATGAGGCTGGAAGAATCTCACCAGGTGCAGTCTTGTCAGCCACGATTGAGCTTTTGGCTACAACATGATTTGGGGATTATTATTCATCAGTCAACTATGGGATCATTAGGAGTAAACTCGTTTTGGGAGGATGGAAGTGCTTCATTCAACCAACAATTGTGGAAAGCTCACCCTCTGCACTACCGTGGAGGAGGAATTGTTTGGTCCTGCCCTGCCCCTATATGTCGTGAAATTTCAGACCCTGGAGGATGCAACTGAAATGTTCCTCGAGTAACCCCCTTTTCTTATAGACATATTCAAAGATTTCTCACCTTTTTCACAGCATCTACATAAACTTCTACGTGCGCGTGAATCCTTGAACCCAACAAAAGAACAAATTTCTCTCAAAAAAGAAAAGAACAAACCAGTCAGAGAAACATCTGAGTTTGGAGAACATAAGATGAGAGAAGATTGGGCCCGGAGAGATTAGAGAGGGCAAAGCCCGGGCCGACGAACAAAAGACATGTTTTTGAGGCTTTCTGACTTAGGACCAAATAAAAATTCAACCGCATTACCTTAAAATGCTGCAATGCAATAGGGCGTGGTGTTCGCACACGAACACGTCACCGTGTAGCTCTAATGATGGGGTGATGTACCGCAGCTCACGTCGAAGGAGACCCGCCGAAAGCGCGGTACGCAAGCAATCCGGCGAGCGATTTTGTAGACCCGAAACCCCACGCGCTCGGGAGGGACCCCGTTTGGACGCGCGGTGGCTATGGGCTGCCCTAGGTCGACCTGATCGCCCCTAGGGCCTCGAGGTTCGCCGCCCTGCAACAAGAAGAACAGACGAAGAACGAGGAAGAAGAAGAAGTAGGGTCAAGGAGAAAAGATAAAAGATAAAAAGTGGTAGATGATTTGATCGATTGTGTGTTGTTATTCAATCGGCCATCACCTCTTATCTATATAATAGGCGGATGGACTTCCCATACAACAAAAGGACTTGCCTTGCCGTCCAAATCATCAAAATCTAATCAAATTCGGACTTCTCACGACCTCCGGCTCGGATGATTCGGCCTAGCCCAGTTTTCTGATAGCAGCTCACTGTTTTGACTCTAGAATCCACGTACGACCTCGGATTTGAACGTTCTTTATATCAAAATCAATCGCCTCGACGATACACACAACTTTCATGTTGAACACTTTTCGATCTGAGGCCATCTTGATGGTGTTTCGGGCCGTTTTCTAAAGTCTGTAGTAGAAAAAGTTGTCCGGACGTCCGGACTTCTATCCGGATTGTCCGGCCTCCACCCGGATCATCCGGGACTGGACCCAGATCATCCGGCTTCATCATAAACCTTTTGTTGTTTTCGGTGCTTCAATTTCCCGGATGATCCAGGCCCTGACCCGGATGATCCGGCCAAACACTGCTGCAGCGTATGATTTTGCCTGTAACTTTCGCATACGACCTCGGATGTGAACGATTCTTATATCAAAATCGTCCGTTTTGACGAGACGAAGAACTTTGTAGTTGAAACTTTTCCGAAACGAGGCCATCTTGGGGGTGTAATCAGCCGAATAGTATTCTGAATACAAAATCTGAGTACTTCGAACACAACTTCGGCCTTAGAGATGAGACTGGATGACTATGACCCAAATATCAAAGTTTTTCCTTTTGACGATACGGAACTTTCTCACTTTGAGCAGTTCTCCATTTGAGGCCATCTTAATTAAGTTCTTCGTTGTGCCAAAATCTGGTGTCAACACATGCCCCCCTGTTTTTCGGCAAACTTGTGTGCCGAAAAATAACTTGCACGATGTTTTTTCTAAGGACGATGTCAACACTCCATCGGCCATTTTATGTGCTTAGGACGATAAGTATATATCAGCCATTTGAATTAGCAACAAAAGTAAAGTTAATCAAACATATGATGATTTGGTAATACCCTTTCATGATGTAAGAAATTATATTGCATCCATGGTTTAAAATAAGCCCATTGAGGGTAACCAATCATATCTGATGAGAAATTTCATGGAATAGGCATCAACGACATTGTTGAAGAAAATGGATAATGTGTGGACCGAAGATGTTGAAACCTTCGGCTTGGTCCTTCATAGTTTTCACTCTTTTCCTTTTTCACATTTGCCGCACTCCTTGTAAAGGAAGCTTGCACATAATTCTTATTTTGAATACTTCCTTTGGGAACCCATGCCATGTTTCTCTTTTCAAGTTCTTGTGCACTAAGCTTTTGCAACTTCTTATTTTGCCAATATGATAAGCCGAGTGGGCACCCCGGCTACGATTTTGTTTGAAGTAATGGCAATTCTTGTTTTACCTTGTGCACTCTCAACTTCTTCCCTTCAGATTTGGCACTTGATTGATTTGCCTTATTGCCTTTTGTAGCCAATGTCTACATTTTACTTGGCTTTTTTTCATCTGAGATCATATCTGAAGTGGCACTCTTACGACCATCTCGTTTGACGCGGTAGACTTGCTTGACCACCTCATTCTTGTTCATTGAGCTCCAGACCGATTCCTTATGATTGAAATTGTCTTTGACATGTGATTGTTCAAATGTTGATCTTTTTGGAGCTGCATAATGTTTTTGAGATGATCTAAAATAAGATGAAGAATGCGCCCTTGTATCATACCTGTCCCACGATGGATATGGATTTACATGATCATAGGAAGGTATCCATGGCATTGGCATTGGCGGCACAAAATATGGATATGAATATACCACATTAGAATTCTCATTTTGCCAAACCGATCCTTGGATTTGCGCCTATGGGGTGATCTTGATGCCTTTGCATTAGTTGGACGATAAGCACTGTTCTCCTCACTTATCTTATGATATTTTTCCAATAGCTGCGCGAAAGTGACTTTCGGCCTTTTATCTTTGTGCTTACGTCGGCCTTTATTTTCTTTGGTTGTGCTTGCACCGATCTTTGGATTTTCTTGTTGCCCCCCAGTCCTTTGCGTCTCCATTGTAACTCCGATGGAATTCTCGCCCTCAAGATTATGTTCATTATGCTCTTTGATAATTTCTTTACTTGAAAGCTCGATCCCATCACCTGCAATTTTACCTTCTCTTTAAATGGATCGGCTTGAAGCAGCCGATGCAAAAACCTTTTACCATTGGGACCAATTGGAATGGAATCGTCATCTCTTGGTGTCTCAACAAATTTCAATCGTCCTTTATTAATGGCCGATTTAACTATTTGACAAAACATGTTGCAATCCTCAATACTATGCTTGAACGAATCATGCAACTTACAATAAATTCGTCCTTGGATAGATGTCTTGACATTGTGATCAAGAATTCTAATGTAATTATTTTTCAACAACAAATCAAAGATTTGATCGCACATGTTTGAATTGAAGGTATACGTTTTGTTTTTTAGCCGATCTTGGTGTGCGAACGGCTTTGGAAGTAAGCAAACGAATGGTTCAGATTTAGAATCTCCCCATTCGGCTATGTATTGTGTTTTACACCCTATCTCCGATGTATTTGGATAAGATATTATATTAGCATCGGATTTCTCAAAAGAATTTGACCTTGGCTTTAAATTTCTGAAATGAAAATAGTTAGAATACACATGTCTCAATTGAGACCAAGTGCAAGCCAAGTAAGAAACAAGCAAAGCTACCCAATTAGATATGAAATTTTGATAAAGCAATGGGGAAAACTTTGACTGCAATAATAGGTCACTATCTGTCTTTATAAATGGCACAATAGATTGACTGATATGTTCTATAACAGTTTTATTGCTAACAAGTAAATTTCCCTTCGTCATTGGTCTTTCAAAATTACTTATGAGAATTTCTCTTATAGAAGAATCAACAATAAAGTTGCGACCAAATCGGAAGATAGGTAAATCACTTGCTAGACATACCTTTTCAAACACGTTGGGAGAGCATGATGGTTGCGTTACTTAAACGTGAAGGAAATATGCCCTAGAGGCAATAATGAAGTTATTATTTATTTCCTTACATCATGATAAATGTTTATTATTCATGCTAGAATTGTATTAACCGGAAACATAATACATGTGTGAATACATAGACAAACAGAGTGTCACTAGTATGCCTCTACTTAACTAGCTCGTTGATCAAAGATGGTTAAGTTCCCTAGCCATTGACATGAGTTGTCATTTGATTAACGGGATCACATCATTAGGAGAATGATGTGATTGACATGACCC